ACCTGGACAGCCAGCAGTGGATAATAATCAGAGGGCCAAATTACTTCAGGGAGTCTCCTGGTGATATCCTGTAGCGGGCCCCAGGGATCCAGCACTTTCCTGTGAGGTGGTTCCAGGTCCAGTCTACTGGGTCCTCAGATCCCCTTATAAGCAAGCCACCTACTACAATCACCCTTCCTTTCTTCTAAATACCTGAGGCTGTGATCCATCTGACAAAGTGCAATTGGAAGACCCTCCAGAGATATTTTTTTCTTTCATCTGCCTGACCTACTGGATCCAGGGTCTCATTCCTATTCTATAAGGATACCTGGGAAGGCAATGGCAAGGGAATTTTTTGATTTCCAAGAAGGGACTTGATTCCCACCCCATCTAGGGAGGTCTCCTCCTCCTCCCTGCAGGAGGCAGGGCTCCTCTGACATCTGCTGAGCTTCTCTTAAGAGTTGGAAGGGTGTAACTCCCCTAGTCTATTTCTCTTTTGCTACCTCTAATACTCCTCAACCATTCCATCTCTTAAGCTCTGCCCCTAGACAGATCAAATCACTCACCTGCTTACACCACAGGCAGATTTTTTTTTTTGCAACATCTTCTGGTACTAACACCAGGCCAAGACACTCACTGCAGCCAGTGGCCTGGACACCTGTTTCCCTCTTGGGGAATTATGTCTGGGTTAGCAAACCCTGGCTGACAGCAGCAATTGCTTCTGACCATTTGCAAATCAGTACTGGATCTAGTAAGCGGGGGTGGAGGGGGAAGAACGGGAATGACACAAACCCAAACAAACAAGTACAACAACAAACCTGCCAAAATACCACACTGACATATTAACACTCAACCTATCACGAGGAGGATGGCTGTGCCCCACCTGTGCAAACTGCCACATAAATGGGCATGCCAGTCCCTGTTGTGCCACACCTTCACTGCCCTGCCATTTCAGCACTCCTACTGCCTGCCATGCTATACCCCAGTTTGCCCACTCCTGGTCAGAGTGTTTTCAATTGTATGCAAACGGCCCAAATTCTGCCCCTAGCTCACCTGAACGGCTGGCATGAAGTGGAGGGATGGGAGGAGGGAGCTGCTTGATCAGTTCCTCTAAATCATATGCACATTAATATCATGAAATACTACAAACTAAAGCCAGCTATTGACTCCAATAAATCAGCAGAGCAATAGTCCCAACAACTTCTTCATTAGATCCAACCTATCCTGTATCCAATAATACTTGCTTTTAAAAGAGACCATTCATATGCCACAACACAGCTGAAGAACAGAACCAGTAGTAGGAATTCTCAGTTCTGTGCAGTAGCTCTCAGGAAGCAAACAAATCCAGGAAGATCATCAAACATATCCTGTACCCATACCAAACCACTCTGTATGAAAAGAAGAACAAACCATCTAACTTGCTCTCACCTTGTCCAAAGCCACCACGAAATCCTTTAAACCCTCTGTTCTGTGTACTAGCACCATCTACAGCTTTTCGTTCTTGAAAACCTGCAGTAATACAGCATAGCACACAGTAACTCAATTTGTCCACTTCTACGTGAGTAGACCAAGTGCCTTTTACCTGGCTGAAGAACAGAAGTCATTCCAAAGCTGTCACTCTTGACTGACAGTTCTCAGGGGATGGGCAAAGTCAGAAGGAATGACCAGTGTATGTTGGCATCACAGGAACCAGTTAATACAACCAACTTACCCTCACCTTGTCCAGAGCCACCACGAAATCCTTTAAACCCTCTGTTTTGTGGAAGGGCATCTTCTCCATTTCCTTCTTGAATACCTGCAGTACAGCATAGCACAAAATAATGTAGTTTGCTCAATTTTCATGTACAGATCTAACATTACTTATATGACTTAAAAAGCCATTTCACTGCTTTCACCCTTGTAATGGTAGTTCTCAGGGAGCAAGCAAATCCAGTAAGATCAAGCATACCCCGTACCCCATACCAAACCACTCTGTATGAAAAGAGGCCCAAACCATCCAACTCACTCTCACCTTGCCCAAAGCCACCACGAAATCCTTTAAACCCTCTGTTCTGTGTACTA